ATTACACTAAACATAGATAAAATTTTGCACTTGAAGCTTGGTGGATCACTAATTAATTTATATTTTGCTGATTCTTATATGAATTAATTATTCTACAGCAAATTAAATTAAATGAGCATTTGTTATGACATTATTTATTAAAATTTATATCATATATCCTATATAAAAAATTATAAGATATAATATTTAAATATATTTAGTGACCCACTGGTTCAACCACTCATCCACTGGATGAACTAGTAACCCGTTGACCCACTACCTTCGCCGGTCTCCTTTCCGGGCAGGGTTTAATAACTATGCTTCTTCGAAGTGTTAATCCGTTGATTGCTAAGTTTTATCCACTTTTGCCACAAACCACTAATTGTCTTCTATAAATATATAGGGAAATGAAGACCAACAAGTCATAGCTTGTACATGGTGTAGATCCGCTGTAGCACTGAATTAAAAGGAAGTATTGCAATCCGGGTTCGACTCCCGGCAGCGGAATATTTTTTCTCTTTTGTTTTGGAAGTATTTCAATTTATCTTCTTGTTTCGTTGCTCAGCATTGAAATATTAGAGATTTTCTGCCCCTCAAAGAGTAAAGTGCAGTAGACAATGATGAAGTCTCAGCGTTGCAAAATTAACTTTTTTGTAAAGCAATCAAAATCCGTTCTAATTGAACCAAAGCGCTAATGCTTTCATTCACTTTCTATTGCACTACCCAAATTAAGTAATTGCTCCCCAAGATTTATAGTACTAAGTCTTAAATTGAAAATAAATAACCTAATGTACATTATAAACCAATACGGTTTCTTGGATAAAGAAATTACTTGATTACACAGTTGTTCAATCTAGAGCCAAATTAGAATCCTAAGGAGAAAGGTCACAGATTCAAGTTTCAAGAATACTGGAGTTATTAACCTAATTATTACTAATCTCTTTGGAAATACTTGCCCTTTTAGGATACGGTCACCTTTGGCTTTTGCTTTAGGTGTCTGATTTTTAGGTTTTATTAAGTTTTTTGGGTCTCATTTGATTTCCTTGATTGGGAATGTCCAAAGGAAAGAAATTCCACGCCAAGGAAAATTTTCTCATCAAGTTCCACGTTTTCGAATTGTTGCAAATTTGTGCAAGATATATGCATATATGGACTTGTTATTTGACTCAAAGGGATTATTCTAAAAAAAAAAAGAAAAATAAAATTCAAAGAGATTACTTGAATTTTGTCAATAAAAATATTAAAGAAAAAGAGAGTGAGAGAGATAATTAGGGTTTCATAAAATGGAGCTTACAAATTTAGCATGCAATTAGCAATATGAAATTATTTAGGGGTTTACAACACAGTTTTGCCAGATATTAACCATACATAATACAGAATATCAAAAGCCATTTTCAGAAAATTGCAGGTAAAGTTAATGCTGATGAATCTTCTCCCTTTCACCTTCTCTTTTACAAAAGTCAGAAACCCTAAGAAACAGAAAGATCTAATATCATCGATCACTTGAATAATAAGCATATCATGTTATAGGTTTCTAATTAATCTGTCAACCTACAATTAACCTTGTTAACCCATGGATTGACACGACAAAACTACTTTGATGCGTGGAATGGAATGATTCCAGATTAAGATAGGCCTAATGTTTGAAACATAGTACCAGCAGTAGTGAAAAGAGTGCATTAATACAAGAAGTAGAATAGTAAGTAATAATTATACTACTATTTCATAATCAAGTTTTGTATTAGCGTTTTTTATTTTTTGGCATTTGTAGTTTAGATCTTTCGCATGTAAGAATTTGCTAAGAATATATTCTGCAATAATTTGTGATATATGGATTCTAAGAAAAAGAACTAAAATGTATATATTGGGCCTAGAGAATTTTTAAATAACTCAATGTATACAAACTTAGTATGTCAATACCTAAACAAAATTTATTATACTTCAATTTGTGCTGCTTTTGTTCTTTCAGATTATGTTGCTGCGTCGAAGTTTAAGTTTGTAACAAATTTGTATTAAAGTGTAGTTTCCAATTTCCAATTTGTATTAAAGTGTAGTATAAGATTTTTAGGGGAGTTGATGACTATACACAATGACAGTGATATCGCCTATGGAACATTGGAACCATTAGAACTAAAGTAGACAGGTGGAATTTTAATTGTTTTTTCATTCTCTTAAGATTTTAATATGTAATAGATATCTATTTCGTTTAGTTTGTTAGTTTGGTTGGATTTGGAGGTGGTCGTTCCTCATTTTCTGAAGTTACTGGATTTTACATGTTTAGATTTCCAAAGTTGGTTTTATTTGGTGAGTATGATATATAGGAAATGTGTAGGAAAAAGAAATATACCAAAGTTTATGTACTTTGTATGGTGATTAATGTCATAAATATTTTATGACGTTATGATGATATCATCACATTCTTAGATCAGTCTAACTTTGGTCAAACTCATTAACCCTAGCCCTCAAATTCGATTGAATCACTATCCAATTTGAATTTCAAAACACAAGCCTCATTTGATTTCTTTTTTTGGGAATCTCCAAAGGAAAGAAATTCCCTACCAAAGAAATTTTTCTCGTGAATTTCTACATTTTCAAATTGTTGCATATTTGTACAAGATACAGACTTGTTATTGATTTAGGATAATTTTGAATTTAGAAAACTTAAAGAGGTTACCTAAAAAGAAAGGAAATGCAAAAATATTAGTGGGATTTTGTCGATCACAAGATTTTGAGAGAGAGAGAGAGAGAGAGAGAGAGAGAGAGAGATAATTAGGACTTCAAAAACTAGAGCTAACAAATTTTGTGGGAAAGTAGCAATATGAAATTGTTCAGGGGTTACCAACATGAGAAATCTTTCAAAATGTTCATCACATTTTGCTAATGAATTTTTTCGTCATTCACTTTTAAAATAGTAATTTTATATCCCTTATAAAATAAAGTTAAAAAATTTGGTTACAACCTAGATTTTTTACTATATTTTTTACTCTAATTCCATCACGTGACCCATATATAGTCATTTTTATCGAAGCAAAAAAGTTATATCCCATTTATAGTTAAACAAACGTCCGGCTCCATATTCATTTTTGTCCTTAAAATGTGAGATCTAACCTGAATCATATTCAATTTTTTTTTCTTAAAAATATAAGCTTTGAACTAGGGATGCTATCGAGTCAGGTCGAGCTCGAACTCGGCTCATATATGATGCACTCAACTCTAGCTCGAACTCGTAGCTAGGGAGGGAGCTCGAGTTCGACTCGATAAGGCTCCTTATCGAGCTTGAGTACTAAGGCTCCTTATCGAGCTTGAGTACTCAAGCTCAAAAAACAGTTCCTGCAAGCTCAATCTGATTCCTGCTACTTCAGTTTCCAATTTCCAGAATCCAAGTTTCAGTTTTAGCAATGAATCAGTATGCTATGATGCCCCAACAGCTCCACCAAGATGTTGATTGCTGAAGGCTGAACCAAAATGGACTTGGAGTTGGTACTTTAGCTTAGCTAATTGAGTAGTTGAGCTTCGGCCTTCGAACTCGGATCGAACGAGGGAGAGAAGAAGATGGAAAATTAGAAATGAAATGAAGCTCATTTGTTTTGTTTAAGTTTATTCAAGGGGTTTTTTTTGCAAAATTACTTATTCATTCTTCAATAATTTTGTAAGTATACCTCTTAAGGTCGTACATGTAGTAACTCATATGCCTAATATAGTAATTTAATAATTATAATTTACTAGTTAAATAAATTGGCTATCGAGCTCAAACTACTCATCAAGCTTCGATCTTATCACATTCTTGCTTGAGCTTGACTCACCAGCTTAGTCAAGTAACTCAAGCTCGGTCAAGAGTCGAGCAACCGACTAAGCTACTTGCGAGTTCAAGTTAAGTTGCTCGATTTAGCTCCAACCCTAATCTAAATCAATTCATATTCAATTTTGTCACTAAAAAGATGAGATCTAATCTTTTTGCGCATAAAAAATGATTGCATGTAGGTCACGTAATGATTTCAGATTAAAAAGATGTTAGAAACTGGTGTTGGAACTAAATTTTACTATCTTGAATTTGTAAGGGATATAAAGTTAATATTTTAAAAGTAAATGACCAAAAAATTCATTTAGTAATATATGAGGGATGTTTTGAACAATTTTCGTACTAACATAGTTTTCCCCAAATTATTATCTATTGCGCGAGAAAAAAGAATGGGGAAATGGGGTATAGACGTGAAAAGTCAAAGAGATTTGCATTTGATAAAATTGAAATTTGAAACTAAAATATGAAATCTAAAATTTAAAGTCTAAATCTATTAAATTATTGAATTGTTAAGTATTAAATCTAATACATTTGAATGTATATCTCATTAAGTGATAAGTAAATAGTTTATCACTTACTTTTGGTTGCAAATTTTGTCAGTACCATTCAATTAATTCAAATGTTTCATTTTTAGTTATTAAACATGTTTGAACATGTTAAGATTTGTATCTATTAGATTTAAGTACGGAATTGGTTTATTAAACAGGGTTAGTTTTATATAATTAATTGAAATTGCTATATCAACAAATGACTAAGGGTAATTAAAGTTCAAAAACTGGTCAATTAAATTATTGAATTATTAATTACTAAGTCTGATATATTTGAGTGTATATCACGTTAAGTGATAAGTAAATAGTTTATCACTTATTTTTTGAAGCAAGTTTTGTTTAAAAAATTCAATGCTACTTAATTAATTTAGATATTCAATTTTTGGTATCAAATGCATCTAAACATGTTAAAATCTGAATCTATTAAGTTTACGTGTTAAATTAGATTATCAAATAGGGTCTAAGATCCATTGTGGCACCTAATTGGTTTAAGCGATTACATCCGGGTTTGCCTCCCGGCAAGCAAATTTTCCTAAAAATCTGCTTCTTAATCCAAATTCAGAAATTTTCAACAGTGAACACAAGCTGATCGTTTCCTTCATAAAAAAAAAGGTTCAAAACTATATAGCCTGACTGAAATATAGGAAGAGAAATTCTGGTACTAAATATATTACCTGTGAGAGAGCTGGAAAGGTCCCATTTGATAGGGAGTCAGCAAAGGTATTGTTTGCTCCTCCGGTCTATCATCTACCTTCTTTTTCCATTTCTGTTTACTATCTCTAAATCTCAAGTGTTCTTGTCTTTGATCTCAAAGGACCATGCAACTGAGTGAACCAGTGTGGGGCTGAAAAAAAGATTTGGTTATTCTGGCAACTGCAGGCACCAGTATTCACTATCACACCATGTAGCTGATCATAGCCTAATTTGTCTAGTCTCCTATACAATTATTAATTATACCAGTGGATTTAGAATAAAGTACAAAGAACCTTTTACTTTCCAAATTACGTGTTCCACTGAACTTCACACTGAATTTTACTTTATGTACACATAATATTGCCAATTTGTCTTGCCTTTGTACAACATGTTTCGGGTCTAATTTATGCTCTGTGTGCAAAAAGAGATCGAAACTAAATGGAAGAAGACGTGTGTTTCAACCTAGTACATACAAGAAGATTAATATAACAATTTATTACACTTTTTCCATTTTGAAGAGTATCACTGTGAATACTTTTTGTTTTTTTAATAAGTGTGAGTTTTTTAATCCAAACTTCCTACTTATATTTCCATCTTACCGCGCAATCATCCCTGAAGTATCAATTGTGATAATTGTGAGATTCCACTCGTATGACCCTCTCATCACAAATGAAAATATTTTTACCAACTAAATCGCATTTCATTGTCAATATTTAAATTGAAGATTGACTCAAATACTTTCCTTTCTAACAAGAAGAAAAAATGAAAACTCTACAATCTTGTGGTGTGTTTGGATAGGAGATTATTTCAAAAAAATTATTTAGAATAATACAGTAACACTTTTTATGATGTGATTTATGAGAGATAAAAATAATGATTAGGAATGTATTTATAATGCATGAAAGATAATATTTAAAAAAAATTTCCCAAATTTATGTCTTGTTATATAAGACTATTATTTTTTAGGTGATACGTTTCTTGACTTTCTTGCATTTTGCTACACTTTTCCGTTGATGCCAAAGGGCAAAGGTCCGCCGGGCGGCATAAATTTATTAGTTATTGTCCTCTCTTTACGTCCATCTTACAAGGACTAAAATATAAGTGCACAATATATCAATAGTGGGATATAAGGGGCTAAATTTGATTAAGTATACTTTACAAGGACTAAAATAGTAAATGAGAAATAAAAGAGACTAAATTATGTTATGATTAATGTTATTTCATAGACTTAAAAAGGAACAATATTAATTCAGTAGTCCCATTAAGAATCTGTTAAGGCTCAGGTCAATGGATAGGAGGGATTTCTTTTTTTTTTTTTGGGGACAAACCCAATGAGACCATTGCCTAAGAATTTATTAAAGCTTAGGTTGACAAATTAGGAGGGATTTATTGGCCATTAGAATTTAGAGGGGACTAAAATCAGTTGGGAAACCAAGAATTGTTGGCATTTCATGGTGGTAAGGAGATATGATTTCGCAACCAGCACCGGAGAGGGACTTAAAGAGTCCCTCCTGGTGGTTGCTGACCAATGGACCGATTATCTAAGCATTGTGGGCAGAGTCCCCTCTTTTGAGAGTGTTTTCTATTCTAATTTGTTTAAATAGTTTCAGTTACTTTTCAGGATGATTATTGTAAAAGCTGTTTAAGATTCCAATTCCAATAAGATCTAATCATTGCTTTGGCCATTGAGCCTCGTGTAACTGAGAAAGAGAGACAGAGAAATTCATAATGCAATCGACAAATAGTAGTATCAAGTTACAATTGTACCAAATGCTTAAATTAGCAGTCCTGCAATAAAATTGCACCTAAAAAAGACCTTAACATGGTTTCAGTGGTCCTGCAATACAATGGTGTTGTCTTTTCGTACCTTTTACAGATTCATCAATGGTTTCAAGAAATGGATAGTCAGTGTAGCCAACAACAGGATCAGGTATGTACAAGGTGGTTCTGTTGTACTTGTTCAGAGGAGCATTTAACTCAAATCGTTTTGGCAAATCTGGATTGGCTAGGAACAAACGTCCATAGGCAACAAGATCAGCATTATCTTTGGCCACTGCTTCGCTGCCATCTTCCCTACAATAGCCACCAGCAACGATGAAAGTACCTTTGAATGCCTTCCTCATTGGCAGAAGAGTATCTGCACAATCGAATTTTTCCCCCAGAGTTTTCATCCTTGGCTCCACCATGTGACAGTACAGAATTCCATATTTATTCAGGGCTTCAGCCATGTAGAGACCTAGTGCTGTTGGATTTGAGTCTCCTGATTCCATGTAATCTGCAAAACGGGGAGAGCCTGAGGCCAACTCTATCAGCTCCTATCGCATTGGAGACAGCTTCAACGATTTCCAGAGCAAATCTGCAACGGTTCTCCAATGAGCCTCCGTATTCATCTGTTCTGTCATTGATTTGGTCTTTCAGAAACTGTTCTACTATATAACCATGAGCTCCATGGATCTCTACCCCATCAAAACCTGCAAATACGAACAGACTGCATCAGCATTCACTTATCTTCTGCTCGTTCTCCCTCCCATATCGTGTCTCTCCCATGTTAAACTGTAGTCTGCTTCTACATTAAAGATCTATAAAAGATACGACTTCAACATGTACTACCAGTCAATGACCTTAGACATGCAAAATATTTTAGAGCAAGAAATGCAAGCTAGGTCACCCCATCAGCAGTTTGAGATGGAAGTTTCAAATGAGTACTATTTCAAATGTAGGAAAACAAAGGGGTGTAATAAGCAACAAGTAAATCAAAAACAAGAGAATTGATGATGAAGTTCTAGGAAAAATTGTAAAGATATAAAATGAGGGAATCTGATAACACTAAGTGAATTAGGCATGTAATTTACTTTTCTTGAAGTTTGATTGCCCCCACTGTCTTGCTAATCAGGTATTGGGTAAAAACTCCAGGATACAATGAATTCAAGAAGACAACCAAGTAACAAGTTCTTGGATTGTCTTGACAAGAATTAGAATGCTGAAAAATTGGTTAGTTTTTTTCTTTTATTAAAGCAGCTATTTATTTTGCTATAACACCCAGAAAATTGTTCATGTTAACATGCATGAATTGATAGTGCAACCTTTCAGAAAATTGTTAGGACCGGGCCAGGAAATAGACAAACTCAAGTTAGCACAATATAGGCGGTATAACCGACCATATAATAGATAGGCGGTAGATACCAGCCATATAATAATTAGGCGGTAAAACCGACCATATAAAGACGGATAACAAAGCAAATAAAAGACACAAAAGATTTTACGTGGTTCGGTCAAATTGACCTACGTCCACGGGCAAGGGAGGAGCAATATTTCTACCATGAAAAAGAAATACAAAAGCCGTAGGAAAGTGGTTCTTAGGCCAATAAGGCACTTATAAAAGAGTTTAGAAAATATTCCTAAACTCAAAACAAGAGAGCCTAAAATATTTGACTGAATGGGCTAGATGACTCAAGAAACTAATAACCCATATAACTCTCTTGAGTAGTGCGAGTTTAAAACCTTCAGAGGCCTCTTCTATTTATAGGAAACCAAAGAAGAATTCCTTTGGCTTCTACCGATGTGGGATTGAAGCAAAACGAAAACTTATGCCACAAAGTCAAGAATTGCGGCTGCGGCTGCGGCTGCGGCTTGACAAATCAACAAATCTCCACCTTGGCATAATTTGAGTCCCACCAAAAACTGCTCCACCTTCTCCACATAAGCCCAATGGGCTTAAATCACAAACGAACACCAATCAAGTCCAAGCACTGCTTGAACTTGTAAACTGGAAGATTTGTAAACATATCGGCTGGATTGTCCTTAGTATTGATTTTCTGAATAAGGACTTTTCCCTCAGCAATGATATCACGAATGAAGTGATACTTCACATCAATATGCTTCGTCCTCTCATGATACATCTGATCTTTAGTCAAGTGTATGGCACTTTGACTATCACAGTGAATATCAGTAACACCTTGATATAGACTTAGCTCGCTAAATAAACTCTTCAACCACAAGGCTTCTTTGATTGCCCGGTCACAGCCATATATTCTGCTTCTGCAGTAGACAAAACTACGACAGGTTGTAGAGTAGCTTTCCAATAACAGCACAACCGCCAATGCAAATACATAGCCTGAAAGCGATCTTCTCCTGTCAAGATCCCCAGCGTAGTCTGAATCTACAAAACCAACCAAAGTGTTATTATTTCTTCCAAACTCCAAACATGCATTTGAAGTACCTCGCAAGTATCTGAGAATCCACTTCACAGCCTGCCAATGTGCTTTACCAGGGCAAGACATATATCTACTACACAACACTGACTGCTTGTGCAATATCTGGACGAGTACAAACCATTGCATACATAATACTGCCGACTGCACTGGAATAAGGAACCCGTGCCATATAATCTTCCTCTTCATCTGATTTTGGTGATTGAGCAGCAGATAGCCGAAAATTGCTAGCAAGAGGAGTAGATACTGGTTTAGCATATTTCATGCCAAAACGCTCCAAGACTTTCTCAAGATAATTTTTTTCTGGGTCAAGAACAACTTTTCTACTCCTCGATCATCGCTTGATATCCATGCCAAGAATTTTCTTAGCTGCTCCCAAATCTTTCATTTCAAATTCACTATTTTAACTGCAGTTTCAAGGTGTGAATTTCTGACAAATTCTTGCAGCAATGAGCATGTCATCAACATAAAGCGGCAAATAATGAAAGAACCATCATTTAACTTCCGGAAGTAAACACAGCTATCATACATGCTCCTCAAATAACCATGACAACATAAAGGAATCAAACCTTTTATACCATTGTCTTGGAGACTGCTTCAATCCATATAAGGATTTCTTCAACAAGCAAACATGGTCTTCCTTATTTTCAATTTCAAACCCTGGGGTTGCCTCATATAAATTTGTTCTTCAAGTTCGCATGTAAGAAAGCTGTCTTAACGTCGAGCTGTTCTAACTCCAAATTATACATGGCAACTAAAGCAAGCAAAACACGAATAGAGCTATGTTAACAACAGGTGAGAATATATCATTAAAATCAACACTTGTACCTGACTATAGCCCTTTGCAACTAACCGTGCTTTATACCTTGCATCTTCAACCCCTGGAATACCTTCTTTTCTTGAAAACCCACTTGCAACCAACAATTTTCTTAGCTGACGGCGGCTTTACAAGAACCAAGATTCATTCTGATGAAGAGATTCAATTTCTTCATTCATCGCAATCAACCACTTTGCAGAATCATCACAAGAAACTGCTTCTGAATAGGTGGAAGGCTCACCAACTGCATCAGTTTCTTTCTGCAACAGACAAAGCATATGCAACTAAATTTGCATATCTTTGTGGTGTCGAATTTCTCTCCTTTCTCTATCTCTGGCTATGGAATACTCTTCTTCTTTTGAACTATCTTCAACAGTAGATTCAGGTGTATCTACTGGTACTTGTTGAATAGAAGATCTGGTTTGAGAAGGACCAGAACTGCAATATCAAGCTCCACCTGCTTCTGTGTACTATCAGTAGTACAAGGACTAGAAGACTCCTTCTTGGAAGATAACATAGACAATTCATCAAAAAGTAACATCTCTACTGATTACAAATTTTGGGGATTTGGGATCAGGACACCATAATCTGTATCCTTTCACCCCAGAAGCATACCCAAGAAAAATGCACTTTTTA